GGGCCCGTGGAGGCCAAGTCCCGCCTCCCTGTCCATCTCTCTATCTTCTTCTGACTCCCTATTCTTTGAGCTCAGTAATTCCCTTGACAAGGTAGAAGGAGGAGAGGTGGCCCCTGCCCTCCCGAGCCTGGAGGGTTTGCCCTGGGTGTACATCTCTTTCAGGGGGTCTTCATTAGGTGGGTTCTGCAGAAGGGAGACAGTGAGACAATGTCTCTTGGTTCCCCTGAGCTCTTGCCAGTCAGATTCTACAGGGTGGCCAGAGTACTGCTTTAGACACTTAAATCAGACTATAGCATACCTAATGTGTCTTCAGGGCCTTCCTGAGACCTGAGGTATCTGTCAGCTCCCTTTTTCAACTCTGATCTCCAGTAACACAACCCAACTCCTGAGAAAACCTGCTCCTGCCCCAGGACCTAATTGCCTGCAGTGTCTCCTTCCTATCTGGGAAGACACCTGTGAGAGCCCTGGTGATTCACACTGGCCCTGTCTGCTCTACTTCCCCTTTCTCCGCTCCATTTGCCTGAAGCACATGGCACTGCTCCCACTCTGCATTGTTAACTTGTTGTCCCCTCCCCCTTGCAGTTGTCCCCAGTGGATGGAGAGCTTGGCTCCCTGCAGCATCTGCAGCCCCTACAGGAAGCCTGGTCCAGAGGGAGCTCCAGGGTCTGGGCGATGGCTCAGCCAATAATATGGTTGCTGACAAGAATGAGGACTGGAGTTCGATCCCCAGCACCCTGCCATGTAATGTCTAGGCAAGTCTGTGAACCTAGCACTGGAGAGGGAGAGACAGGGGACGCCTGGGGCTTGCTGACCAGGTGCTCTAGGCAAATCAACAAGCTCTAGGTTCAGTGGGAAATCTGTCTCAAAAATAAGGTAGAGAGGATTGAGAAAGTCACCCAATGCCAATCTTGGCCCTCCACACGTGTGCACACACACACAAATACATAAGTAAAGAAAAGCACAGAAAAAGAGGGAGTCCCTGTGTGTGGCTGGGGCAGGTTCACAGGGTCTAATTTATTAATTTTTCCTACTGGTTCTGTTCTCAGTGCAGGATATCAAACCCAGAGCCTTGTACATGGAAGATAATCCCTCTACCACTGAGCTGTAGCTGCAGCCTCTCAGGTGTCCTTCTGAGACACTGGGAACATGGTAACAGCTAGAGAGATGCTGAGGAGCTAAAGAGATAGAGAAGGGCCACCTGGTTCCAGGAAAACCAAGATGGAATGAGGTTCTCATAGAAAGAGACAGGTGCTTCTGAAAGGAAGGAAGAGATGCTGAGGAGCTAAAGAGATAGAGAAGGGACATGTGGTTCCAGGAAAACCAAGATGGAATGGGGTTCTCATAGAAAGTGACAGGTGCTTCTGAAAGGAAGGGATCAGCGGTGGATGTGACTGAGGGCTGAGAGAGGGGAGGACAGAGAAGGACCCTGGATCAAATTTGGCTGGAAGGGTTACAGCACTGTCAACTGGGACAGGGTCTCACCAGACTGTACAGCTCCATGCTGGACTTTGGCTGTGGGATCTTCAGAGAAGCATCTGATGTGGAAAGAACAAGAGAGTTGTCTCCTAGCCAAAGTCCTGGGATTGTTCAGGTCCTTAGATCCCTCTGATGCCCCACGTGGGGACAGAGGCAGGAAGCGTTGTGGTGCCCCCAGTCTATAGGAAGAGTTCATTCCCACTGAGCCCTGACCACAGCCTCTCCCCTCCACCCCTGTGTTGCCAAGACCTCAGGTGTCTCCATCCCCAGGGCCCTCTTCTCTCACACTTGATTTCTTTCTTGATGGCAGTAGCTGGGCAGGATCTGAGGGCACAAAGGGGCATGAGCTGGTGGTGAGGAGTGGCAGACAAGTGGGCATCTGGGTGACTGGGCTTGAATTACCTCTTCTGAGGACCTCTCTCCCTGGGCACTGGCTCCTCAGAGTCTTCAGGAAGTTGTATGTCAGTGATTTTACTCTGGACTGAAAGAGAGAGGAGTCTCAGCCAGGGGTGGGAAACCCTGTTCCAGAACCTGCAGGGAAGGAAAGGAACTTTATACCATATGGAGTATGTAAATGTTCCAGATGAACAGCTCACATAATACCTTACCTTTGCACAGCTACTGAGATCACATGTCTCTGATCTGATATTCTGTGGAAGCCCTCCTGAGCTGACTTACCCCAGTCCGGCTGGTTTCCCTGGGGCTGGTGCCCTGAGCCCCTGCTTGGATGGTCCACAGGGGGAGGCCCCCCACCTCCTGAGAACCAGATCACCTACATCCTACTCACCATCTTTCCTGCATTTGTGCTGACATCTCCATCGGAGGAGAAGGAAGATGAGGAGGAAGAGCAGGAAGAACACTGAGACCCCGATCAGAATCATCTGGTAACTTCCCAGTCCTGTGGCACAAGTGACTTCATGTATCAAGAGCAGTGTTAGCTGACTTGACCACCTAATGTGTGCCAGGCACACTCTAGGACTTTACATTCAGCACCTCCTATCCTCAGGATCATGCAAAATGAGATCAGCTCTGCCCCCAGACAGTTCACTTGCCCCAGGTCACCCAACTGGAAGAGGCAGAGTTGGGTTGAATCCAGGGAATCTGACTTCCAGCCTTGTTCTCCACCAGAACTGAGACCCTGAATGGAAGGAGCCTGAATGTCCTACCTTGGCCCTGTGAACAACCCTCACACAATGTCAGCATCACTTTGGAAAAGGTTAGAGGCCCACTGCAGAATCAGTGGAGGCCTCCTCTGCCAGTGTGGATCACAGCCTAGGTCAGCTGTGAAAGGACCTCTAAGGTCAGGGTGAAGGCTTGTCATTCACATTCAGAGAAGCCAAGACCCACTCAGGGGAGAGATTTGTCATATTCAGCATCTCCAGAAGAGGCTACACCAACCCCATAACTACATGTGGTTCCCCTGAACCCGCCTTCCCACAGTTCTCTTTTATCATTCTACAGAACTGACTCCATGGGTCTGAGCAACTGCTTCTACTGTCCTCATGGTGGGATGGGGAGGTGAGGGTCTGGACTCCCCATTCTCCACCTCAGCCCAGTTTCTTCTTTCCCAACTTGTGACCAAACACCTTTGTTTTCTTGTATGAGCCCTCCTGCAGCTCAGCCTCAAAGACTGGAATTCTGGGGTCTCTGTTGGCAGCTCTGTCTGATCTCTGGGCTTCTGGACACAAGATGAGCTGACACAGGAAGCAGGCCTTAGATGGGATGAGAGTCTTCAGGTAGCTCAGGGATAGAGGAAAGTCCCTGAACAGAAGTCCCTGATACTCACCAGCTGTTAGGATGGGCCCTGTGGATAGGTTGCTGTTGCCTACAGAGGATCATGGGAAACAGTAGAAGAGGATGTCAGATGCAGAATCTGACATGGAGACACAGCTGCTGTTTGTTGTCTTACATCTGCCCTGTGGCCTCCCCAAGAACCTCCTACTGCCCAGCTGGAACCCCGATTTTAATGAAGGAGGTGGTGTGAGAAACCCAGGAAGGTCTCCTGTTGGTCTCCAGCTCTCCTAGGGTGAGTCTCCTGTCTTTGTCTTCCTGTGATCTTTAATCCATTCCTAACCAAGGGCTGTCCTGGGGACAGGATGCTGAGTCATTTTTTTGACCTCAGGATCCTCATACCTGAAGCTACAAGCTCCACAAGGGCAATAGTATATGACAACAGGCAGGGGATGAGCCTTGAAAACCATCCCACCTCTAAGTCCCACCAATGGATGAGGTGTCAGCACTGATGGAGAAGTCTTCCCAGTACTTCCCAGTGTGAGACCTAGAGCTAAGACAGAGTGGGGAATTGACTACCCTTTCCTTTGTCAGAAGGACAGTGTCCATCTGACTCCAGGACTGACACAGGAGGGTCACATTCTCTCCTGAGGACACTGTGGGGCATGGCTATACTGAGAGGGAGGGCGTGAGATGGAGCTGTCCTAGGGAGAAGGACAGGTGAGGGACTGAGTGTTTTCTTCTGAGCTGAGACATCACTGCAGCCTGAATCTGAGGATATGGGTCTCTATGTCTGGTTTCTGTGATTCTGCCCCTTCCCTTCTCCCCTGTCTTGTTTCTGTGCCTCCCTTATACCCCAAACCTTCATCCTAACCTCAGTCCTTGGGCTCTCCTAGCAGGGTCTGTTAAGATTCTGGGTCCCTAACTGAATTCACTTGGCCCTTTACCTGTGATCAGTATGTCCAGGGCATCACTGGGGACTGCCCCCTGGGAGGAGAGTCTCTGTGCAGCATAGCACCTGTGCCAGCCTCCAGTAGAAGACCTCAGAGGGGATAGTGTGTAGCTGACTGAGAAAAATGAACCTGGGGCTCTCACCCTGGACTTTGTAGGAGGCTACTTTCCTTCTCTTTGAATAGAGAATATCTGTTCTACCTGATGTCAGAGATGCACTGTAGGGTCAGGATCTCTCTGGGGGTTAAGATAGGTCCTGGCTGGGTGTCATGAAGGGCTTCTAGTACAGCTCTAGAAGCCAGATGGAATGCTGGTTGAGTCCCCCCCACTTCCTCTGTGTCCTATGGAGAATGTGATGGAGGTACTTACTATTCTCCTTTCTTGCTTCTGAGCCATGAATTCTACCAAGGAAAAGAACATGACCAACTGTCAGTATTAAAAATTATCTTCTTCTAGATCTATATCTAATATGCTTATTTCATTTCTATATACATTTATTATATCAGGTAAAAGCTCCTGAGGACTGAAATATAGTTCCATTGGATAGTATTTGTCTGGTATACATGGAATCCTTGGTTTGATCCCATCACTGTATCAATTTGGTGCCTTGGTTCATGTCTGAAGAACATGACCAACTGTCAGTATTAAAAATTATCTTCTTCTAGATCTATATCTAATATGCTTATTTCATTTCTATATACATTTATTATATCAGGTAAAAGCTCCTGAGGACTGAAATATAGTTCCATTGGAGAGTATTTGTCTGGTATCCATGGAATCCTTGGTTTGATCCCATCACTGTATCAATTTGGTGCCTTGGTTCATGTCTGTAATCCTCACCCTCAGGACATGGAGGATCAAAATTCAAGATCATTCTTTCTTTTTTGGTCTTTTGGAGACAAGGTCTCTCTGTAGCCCCAGCTGTCCTGGAACTCACTGTGTATATCAAGCTGAACTAGGACTCACAGAGATCTGAGATCTGCCTGCCTGTGTCTCCCAAGTGTTGGAAGGAAAGGTGTGTGTCACCATGTCCAGCTTTCATGATCATTCTTGAGACATAGTGAATTTCAGGTCAGCCTGGGTTTTAACGGCCCCTGAACAAAACAGGCAAACAAACAAGCACACAAACAGAAAAACAAACAAGTTCTGATGCTGCAAAATTTATCCAGGCTTTTCATTACAAGTACATCTAAGGTGGCATGCCCACTCTGTGTCAGGGCAGCAGCACCCCAGCCCCAGCGTCTGATACCTTCCTAAGACCTGTGTGCTCAGTATGCCACATGGCCATCCTATTTCTTCCCTATCAACTTGATTCATACTTCTCTCTGAGAAGATCACATGGTGGGATAATCCTTGGAAACCAGACTTGCACTTAGTGCTGTGAGCTCAGTCATGTTCATCCTCCACACAGTCATCAATACCAGGAAGAAGAGGCCCTGCCAGCTCCTGGTGGAATGAGCTCCATGTGATGGTCTTGGTTTAGAGGACTGAGTCATCAATACATGGCATCACATCAGCCCTCTCTGATGTCCATGCCTCACATCTTCACCACAGCAGTACAACTTGTCCCTGCTGGAAAGCCCCTCAGCAAGAACGTGACCACACCTGTCTTCCATCCTTGTCCTGTGGTCACCTCATTCATGGTTC